CTTATGACAAGACTTGACAATCATTTGGTTTTACTGCTTCTCCTACTAGAGCCATCCTTCCCAGGAAACTTGCCTTATTTGTTTAATCATCTTCAGAACTGGGCCAAGAGTCTTTCCTAGAGAAGACATTCAGTATACAACTTGTAAATCACACACCAACCTGCTCTTGACCGACTGCACCACTTGGTTGAGTGAAACACCAGATACTCAAAGTTTGCTATTTCTTATTGCTTAAGTGAGAGATTATACACAGGGCTTCATCTCTCAGTGCAGGGATGATGTAGATAAGACAGTTTTTCTGAGCCTGCAGAGTCTGGAGGTGCTCCTGGGCATCCCTCACATATTCCTTAGAAAGGCAGAGAGAGGACAGGTATATTTCATTTCTATCAGGAGGGCTTCTGCCATTTTTAAAAGCCCTTATCATTTAAGAGCACAAATGCCAATCTGAATTCATTTCCAGGTTGACAACTCTGTGATAGGAGACCAAATCAGGTGCTTCTAAGAGGGTGGGGGTGTAGCTCAGTGGTAGTGCACTTGCTTAGCATGTGTGAGACCTTGGATTTGATCCCCATCACTGAAAAAAAATTTCTTGCTATCTAGCAGAGTAGACACCTGTCAAACCAATGCTCACTCTACTATGTATTTAAGCAAACACAGTAGAAGAAAGAAAAGGATATCTAACTTATGTTCACTCTAAAATACTCAGGCCAAATGCCAGCCCTTGCTATCTCCCAGCACGACCACAGCAGCTTCTCAGCAGGATACTGGAAGTAGTTAGAGGATTAATGTCTCCACTCACCTCTTCATTTTCCAGCTGGTTTGTTGACGATTGTGGAGAAAACTGAAGGTATCTTTTGTTTTTAATTCCATTGCCTAGGCATATATTCTCTAAATTATGTTTTGATCAATTTGCTGGCTCCCTACACTCCAAACACAGTAGGGCCCCACGCTCAAAGAGCTGAAAGAACCATGGCTTTCACCTTCATGTGCACGTTTGTGGGGCAAGAAGTCCCTTTGGTGGGGAGCAGCGTGGAACTGATCGAATTAGGATACACAAACCAAGTAAGAGGAAAACTACTAGCTCAATTTTTAGTCACTTTCCCTAGATGTCTTCAAAAGGTGGTGGGACCAGCACCAGATCAGCAGTTTGCAGAAAACACAACAGCTGAACTATATCCAAGAGAGGCAAGATTCTTGAGTGATTTACTTTAGCTAGAATCAAACACACACTCAGCAGGAGAGTGGAAATCCACCTTCTCCAAAGTAGCTCTCAGAACATACAGAATATAAAATGAAGAATGTAATATTATTTTCTTAAGCTTTGGCTTTAGAGATCAGAAATAAAGGCGGAAGAATTAGGCATAGTCACCAAATCCTGATCCTCCCTCAGACATCTGATGTCACTAGAGCTAACAGCATCTATAGCCCCACTTGCTGCTTCTACAAACTCTAAAGCCCACGAAAGGGTAAAAGAATCTTCTGGATATTTATAAGGGACAGAACTAATATACTGGCTCCTGGGAAGAACAGCAATTAAAGAAAATGTCTTCCTGTGCTGATAAGCTTGCTGCTGGCACAAGGCAGTACACACACTTTATCTGCACCTCTCTGAAGACCGACTCCTTACTTTTCCCAGGATTTAAAAATCATGTTAACAATAAGTAAATACAGTGTGGCCAGATGCCTTTCGTGGTCAGATGGTTCATTGTTTAAAAAGCTTCAGTTTAAAATCCAAAAGATTGTTAACAGATGCAGTTTCTGGCTGGAGACTGGGAAAAACCTCATTTAAACAAAACAGTATGTTGTGATTGGAACTAAAAAGGGAATTACCTTTAAAGATAAGAACCACAAACATTTCCTATTCAAAAATACCCCAACCCAAACAACAGGACCTTTTTTGGATCTTCCCTAAGAGTTTAAAATTCGCTAACAGGTTGCTGTCGATGAAGACCCAGCGCTGACCGGCCGGCCCAGTGACGTACAGATGGGTTTGGGCTTGCAGCAAGGCCACAGCACCCCTCTCCGAGTCTGCCTAGATTTCTGAATTGGGCGAAATTCCGATTAATTTTCTTCCAATAATTTTAGCCCAGAAATACTTTTGCTGCTTTAATTTTGGCTCTGGGACTGAGTTTTCAAGCAGAGACTTAGACGCAGAAGTTTTGTAAATGAACACACAGTTTTAAGCTGATAGTGGCTGCTGTGTCTCAAGTGTCTGTCGGATGGGAAAGAGGCAGTTGGCTGAGAAAAAGCTTGGCCCTGCGCACAGGCCCTGTCTTGCTTGCTTCCACAACTTCTGTTCACTTTTACAGAGAGCCTGCTTTCACCAGCTCCCACGGTTTGTTTCTGTTGGCTGCAAAGGACCCTTACTTTACAGCTTCACTATGTGGGAGAATGTCTGCAATGTCCTGGGTTCTAATCTTGAAAGACGGAAAATTGGAAGGGGCCGTGGATGTAGCTTTCCCCCAGCCTGAGAAATGGATGTGGTTTGGCTTGTTGGTGATAAGCCTGATTGGAGAAAGTTTTATAGTTGATATCCCGAGGAAAATAATCTCTTAATACCAAATGGCCACCACGCTGCTCTGCTCTGAGAATGGAGAAACTGTCCCTCAGGACACCATACTATCTGCAGAGGTGAACATCATACCCTTCCCTGGCTAGGTTTTGTGTCTTTGTAGTCCTTATACATTTCTCAGTTTATTTCAGTACCCTACAAGTTCAGTTGCAGACCACAGGCATGGATGGTTTTAACACTGTGTGAAGCTCTAATCAAGAAAATCCTGAGTCAAGAATGCTACCATTCATTTTAAAGCAAGACAGATCTACAGATCCACAGGATTCCCTAAAGAGTTAAAATGGTTTTCCCACTCAGCCATGCCACTGCTAAGTCATGTAAGGAATCCAAGCTGCTGGAATGAGGCTAGCAGAAGCACCTTCACCAACATCTGTGCAATCTGGCATACCACCATGAAGGGCCCATCCATCGAAGAATGGGATTCTTAGAGCACTGGCCACATCCATATCCCTTCTCCTACAAAAAGCCAACCCCATTATGTATGCTTGAGACCAGGCTTGCAAGGGGATCTGATTAGCTGCAACTTGAAAAATGAGCAACAGCTGCAAGCCTGAGGTCATCACTCTTCTCCAGGGTTTGCCTTCTCTGATGTGAGGGGCAGTAGTTTCCATGACTGACTTTCAATTGCTGTCATGGGTGTAATAAAATCTAGGAAAGAAGAAAAATTTCCCCCTAATAAGCTGCTCCCATTTTCATGCCCCTTCCTTTCCTCTGGTGCATATTCTCAATCCCTACTTTACATTATTTACTAATTTTGAGGGAAAAAAAATCGGCATTAAGATGAGCCAAAATAGACAATGTCCTCTATATACACAGGCACTGGAGGATTTGGGAACAAGATCCCTTGTTCCCAAAGACCAGGCAGTACCATTAGTGTCAGGACTGAAAAAACACATTGTATTTTAATTTTAAAATTCCATCCCAGTGTATTACATATGTTTCTTGGGCCACGACAATCTGTTCAAGCAGTGTTTCTGATTGGTGAGACATATCCAGAGAGAGACAGAGAGAGAGGAAGAGAGCAGAGAAGGACAGGGCAACACACTGATGGACAAAGGCATTTTACTGCTGGCTACTGGATAAGGACCCTTCAGACTTTAGTTTGATCTTAGAGCAGCTCAGTGATCATAATGAGAGATTACAGCAGGACACATCTCTTAGTGGAGGCCACTGGAGCCAAATCTGACACACACTTTTACCAATTACCACTGCGCAGACACGTTTTTTCGGACAGTATTCAGTATAACACTACTGACAATACATCGGTCCAGTCAGCATACATGCATTTCAAAATCATCTCAAAATGCCAGATGCTAGAGTTGCAAAGGTGAGCCTGACACTGTGTCTCAGAGCCAGAGGCCTAGGGACAGGTGGAGAGACCGCATGCAGGTTCCGAGTGCCTGCACTGAGGAATGGAAAGTGCTCCTGGGGACAGGTATGGCCCAGCGAGGGCAGAGGTGCCAGGCGACAGCTGGGTGGGCATGCAGAGGTACCAAAGCACATACTGACACTGAAGAGAAGGTTCCACCAACTGACGCTGAGGTCTTAAAAACATACCAGGTTATTATCAGTTGTTACTGCTTCCCTAGGCCTGCAGTGATTAATCTGAGTGTCTGCTGCCTGTGAGGGAGAGGTGGCACTTCTCTTAAGTCTGCCCTTCCTGTGTACCTATTTGCTTTGAAGTTTCTCTGGGAAACAAAGGAAAAGTGGCAAAAGGTGGCTACGAACAGGATTAGTTCAAAAAACTGGGTGTGAGGATCTGACACGGTGTTAGGAGAAGAGAGAGTGAGCTTTCTTTCTAGAGGTGCAATGCGCCGAGTGACAGTGTGTGGCACAGATGCTAGGGAGTTAGAGCTTTTGGTTTCTTCGGGGCCCCATGCCCATTCTCCCTGTCTCCCAAGGAAAATGAATCTCAGCTTTTAAGTGACCAATCCAAATAAAGACTCTGTTTTTGCAGCAGGGTGTAGCATATTCCTAACAGTGCAATGGGAGGGGTGGCGGGTAAGTAATTCCTGAGAAGCGGCGGGGGCTGTGTCCTCACTCCCTTTTTTCCAGCTTCTATGTATACTGTGAAATGGCTGGAGAACCACTTGGGCCATGAGGACAAGGTCACACCTTCGAGATCTCCAAATGTAAAGATGCTAGAAGGTGGTCACAGAGGGCTAAGGGGACACCTCTATCTCCTGTAAACCAATGCTATTGGGGTCTCAGTCATACGTAATGAGCAATAATGGTTATAGGTGCCAGGGAGCCCAAGGAAACAACATCCAAGGGGTAACACTTTGCCACCTATAATACCAAGGCTACAACATGATACTTTCAATCTGGTTTACATACGATAAAGAGCTGAGTTCCAGTGGTAAAAAGGGAGAACTAATGGAATCAAAAACCAATTTTTCAGTCAATAATAATCACAATGATAGCTTACCTTTTTCTTGCTGCAATATATTTGCCACTTTTTCTCAGCTGGCAGTGCAAACATGGCTTCCCTGTGTTTGTCTGTAAGGTCAAGTTCATCCTGAAAGAAAGAAAATAATTAGTATTTCATAGACTACATGGTACTCCTACATAGAATGTTATCAGTATCATCAGGGAGAGAAGAAAGAAAGTCCAACACATACATTTAAGTAAATCTGAAAAAGACCAAAGCTGTGTTGAATGCATGTGACTACCATTAAGATAGCACGTCCTGGTGAGGGGCCAGGTGTTCAACGCAGCATGGCCCTGGAAGTGCTGAAGATTGGGGGGGTGTGGGCCCAGCTGGGACAGAAACCTCCTGAGCTATTGCTGTACGGGGTCCACTGAGATGCATACGTATAGAATTAATCACATTAAAGATGAAGGTTCCCTGGCTATGGCTTCACAAACACGTTCAGGCTGGGCCCTGGAGGACCTGGACATCATGGGAAGGGGAGGAACTGCTACAGTTTAGATGCTGAATGACCCCAAAGGTCTCTATGCTACAGGCCTGCTCCCCAAAGTGGGACTATGAGGAGGATGATGCATCTGAGGCCATGGTGTAATCTTTAGACCACCTGCAGCATAGCCCCACTGGGAACTGTGAGGCCCTGGCTCCTTCTTTCTGCTTCCTGCCGTACAGTCAGTGGTTTCACTCTGCCACACATTCCTGCCATGATGCTGTCTTGCCACAGATCCCAAGATGGGGCCAAAAGATCATGAACTGGAATCTCTACAACTCTGAGCCAAAATAACTCTTTTCTATTTATAAGTTAATCTCCTTCAGCATTTTGTTATAGTGACAATAAGGTGACTAACAGAGCAAGAGAAACAAAGACCAGGCTATGGTCAGAGACCTGGGACATCAGGGTCACCACGGCCAGCTCAGCTAAAGCACTGAGATATGCAGAGGATTACCAGGTTTGAGCAGTGGGGCATGATAAGTAGGCAGAGAACCTAAGTGCCAAACTAAGGAGTCTCTTCTTGAATGAGATGAGTCAGTGATGTTTTGAACAAGGGTGTGACATTTGTCACTGCCACAAACTCCAACTTACATTTCCTAATGTTTTACATGCAGGGATTTTCCCATTTATTTCTCACACTGACCCTATGAGGCCCACTCATTATTACATTCTCAGTGTAAAACAATCCTGCTGAATAGTACTGGGGAAATTTAGGCTGAGATTGGGTAAATCACTTGCTCAGGATTATGTACCTATTACGTCATAAAGCCAGGTTTTAAGCCCAGAGCTGTCTGATTCCAGAGTCCAGACTCAGTCTTTCAGATCAGTTTTAGAAACATTAATTTTATAGGGTTGTACACCTTAGATTCTACACTAAAGGAAAGTAATTTTAGACATTTATAACTGATGAATGGCAAAGTAAGAGAACAGTTACGAAGTGCTTACATAGAAGCTCTTATTTAATAGGAACTCAATCTACAGTCAATGTTATTATTGGTATTGAGCATCTGGTACATTTTCATTCCCACTGGCAAAGTTATTTAGTTGAAGGCAGTAGATTGGTGTGTGTGGGTAAGACATAAAAGCTGTAAATTAAGGTATAAAAGGATTTCAGTCCCTGGGGAGTAGGCCTTCTCCGGGAGGGGCTTCTGTGAGCTTCTGCAGTTGTGCTATCCTGTAGACAGGCACATACAGAATGCTGGCTCCATATCTTATACTCTGACACTGTTTAGCGCTGAGGTGCTATTACACCTTCCTGACAAGGTCTTCATTTTCCTTCTGTAGTGTTCCCAGTGAACCCACCTAACATTATTTATGCCCTAGCACCTCTCCCACGGCTTCTGGCATGGCTTCTCATGGTGCCTCCGTACTGCTCCAGTCTTTCCTGCTCAGCACAGCTTAAATTCTCTTGATGCAGGGGTTCTCAGACTTCAGCAAGCACCAAAACACCAGGAAGGCTTCAAGCGCCCAGTGTTCAGCACTGACGAGGTGGGAGGAGGTATTTCTATTAAGTTCTGAAGGCATTGCTGATGCTGCTTGCCCAGACAACATATTTTAAAGTCACTGTCTTGACAATAGAGTACCTATGCTATTTTGAGTTCCTATTTCCAAGAACTTCATTACTTCTACCTCACCTGAAAACTTAATTAGCCATTTCCCAGTGGGCCAACTTACTTTGCTAGGCTTGCTTCTAGTTATCCCCTTACACCCTATCTCATTAACAGCTGCATCTCCAGAGCCTAGCACATGCCAGCTTCCCCAGGGAATTTCTGAGTCTCATTAAGTCTCTAACTCCATAATGGACTTGTCATTCTCCTATAAGGATTGGCAGCATCAACTAAATATGTAGTAATGTCTGGCACAGGTGGTAACTATATTGCTATTTCTCTCATCATCTGAATACAAATCAGTTGCTATTTTCTTTTAAGAGCCATTAAATTATAAACACATTCACACAATTACATCTCAGCCACAATCCCCTGCCCCTCCCTGCAAAACCACCTAGCTAGTAAGGATTTCAACAATTAACAACTGAGGAAGGAACAAAAGACCTTTACAGAAAATTCTATTATGAGGGAACATATTTAACATGTTAGAATTTTGACATGCAGCTATTGTACATGCGAAGTAATTATTGTCCTGCCTTTCTTCCTTTTTAAATTTCCTGTAAGTCACATGTCCTGTCATCTATTGAGAAATGGGGAAAATAAAGGTGACATAAATCACTTTGCAACAATCAGGTCAATTAATCAAACAGCTCAGTAATGTATTGCATAGCTTGGGGAAAAGGTGTTTGATTTGTGAGAGACAGAAAGCACAATTTGTGTGTTTGTTACTATTTGTTAGATATACTATTTGTTAGATAGTAAGATCTAACTATTTGTTAGATACTGAGCATTTTCTGTATATTAACAGTAGAGTTTTATATGGATTTATTTATTTCAATCTTCATAACAGTCCTCTCGGTAATATTATTCCCTTTTCCTGAAAACAGTCATAGATTAAGTAGCTTGTTCAAGGTAACAAAGTTAGTAAACAGTACAGAAAGAACTTGAGTCTGGACTGTACACAGAGCCCACGTTCTTCACCACCACACTGCTGATTGTCAGCTGATCAAAGCAGTAGAATCACATCGCTGATGCAGATGCAAAGTGTCACCATCCACAGAGTGTCTGTGAGCAGAAAGAGCAGACAGCCCTGACTTTTAGGTCTGGCTCTAATCATCTGTGCAACCTTGGACAAGTGACTTCACCTCTGAACTTCAATTTCTTCATCAGAAGACAAAACAATAATATATTCCTGACAGTTACCTCAAGGATTCATTCATGCAACCAAAAGCAATTTTTGATGAGTATCTACCATATGATAGCAATCACTGAGAAAGGTTCAGGGGACAAAAAGCTATCACAGTTTCATGAAGAGATGAAGGAAAATCAAATGATCACACTTGCGGAGGGGTGAGCACACACTCAAAGCTGAGTTTTGAGGCAAAGATGGGACAGGGAAGCTTTTTCACTTCACTTCAGGAAAGTGAAGTGAGAGCTTAACAATAAATACAATGAACAGGTAAACAGCACAGAGCCACTGAATGGCAGCTGGGGAAGTGACTCCACTTTGGTCATTATCCTCAGAGTGATCAGAGGTCACCTGTGGATTCTGGGCAAGCAGTGACACACGTTAAGTTAGCTAATAATTTAATACAGGAGTGCTGAGATGCAATGTCCAAGATGTAATAAGATCCTCACCCTTCCATTCCAAAACTGTATCTGCTCTGACTCACTTTTTTAATAATGTGGCTAAACCAAGCATGCTAGACTAAGAGATTAGCACAGCTTTAAGAGCTCCATCAACACCTACTCACTCTCCTGCCCACTCCAGGGCCAGCCCAGATATTACAAAGAACACACAGATAAGTAACACACCCTGGTTTCAAGGAATTTATAATCCAGCCAGGAAGACAAGATGATACAAAGCTTCCACCATCCCCATCCTTTTCAGGATAAAGTCCAGATTCCACAGCAGTTGAAGGTCCTTCTTGGCCCACCCACCTCTCTACCTCCTGCAACTGCAGCATCTTCCAGCACGTAGGCTCCCACGCAGGAAGCTTCTGAAACTTTGCACACGCTGTCCTTTTCCAGAGTCCTCCCACCGGGTCAAAAGAGCAAGTCCTACTCATCCAGCCTTCTCCAAGACACACCCACTCCCTCCAGGAAGCCTATCCCGACTTTCTTGGGATGGGCAGCACCTCTACCTTGTGGCATTTATCACGTGGTTACGGTTGCTAGTGGCATGTCTGGCGCCCAGGTTGGACTTGTTCCCTGGACAGGAGCTCTGTTCTGTTCATCTCTGCATTAACTGCCAGTCCCTAAAGTAAGATCTGACACGGCAGGAATGCAAACAAGCAAGGTAAGAGGCAAACAAGGAAGGTAGGGAAGCTGGAAGGGAGGAAAAATGGGAAGGAAACTGTAGAACACAGTGTTCAACAATGTTTAAAGATTAAACTATATTGGTTTCTTCTGGAAGCTAGGTGCAGTTTCCCTGTCTATGCTTGAATCTACAGTGCATCTCACAGACCCCATGCCTGGATAGCACACAGTACTTCCTGAGACACAGAGCGGCTGGCTTGCTTCTGCCCCCTCTTTGTTCCAACTATTCATATTCATTTAGATGCTCTGCTCAGTAAAAAGGAAAATAAAGTGCAGTTGATGAAAGATGGAAACAGAATGGAACACAAACTAATTTGAAAGTCATTTTGAGAGACCAGTTTATTTAAGCTCTAAAATTGCTTCAAAGTAATTTACAGAGATTTTTCATTTTGATAATTCAAATATTAAAACAAGCAGTCATGGAAAACAAAGCAATTAGGATCACTATATTTCAAATTGTGCCTGTTTATATGTATTGTTTAAACAAAGTAAATCTTATAGAGGCAAAAAGACCAGAGGTGGCTTGAGGCTGGAGGGGGAAAGCAGACATGACCACAAATGGGCCAGAGGGGTAGGGGTGATAGATATGTGCTAAAACTATGGTAGTGATGGCTAAAAAGCTACATAGATTCATCAAACTCACCCAACTATATTTACAATAGGTAGATATA